AAAAGTTTCTTTTGTGGCGATTTGTATTGTTTCAACATGGTATAGATATTTAATCAATTATTTTAATCAATTGTATAATATAATTCAAATGTATCAATATCAAATAGAGGTAATGAAACATGTTTTGGAGTTATATGTAGAAAATATGATATACATATTTCATTTTGTACTGTTAAACCAATGAATGTATTTGTACAACAGAATCAATGACTATGGATCTAAATATAGAAAAAGAAACAAAAACTTTTTGATAATGAAAACAACATATAACATAAAAATTTTTTCTACAGTAAAATCTCTTAAATGAATATCGTCGAAACTTTTGAAACGTGCTCATCTATGCGCAGATATTATCAATGTTTAATGCAGTGTGGAGATGGCATCTCTCCACACATCACTTTAGTCCTTCCAGAGTTTTAAGTCATCCTTCTGAAAGAGAAAATCTGAATGTTCTATATTTTACTATGAAATGAAAAAAAAATTCAGAGTATTAGCTTCTTTACTGCTTTTGAAGTAATCAGCGATAATTCTCTGTGTTATTTATCTTCCTCCACTTGAATATTATGAACCCGAAAAAAAACTTTTGAACAGAATTTGATGAACGGTGTTTTACGATACATCCAAATATATATATTTATCAAGTTTTATTACGTCAGAACTATTTTGATTTGGATAATCATTGAAATATTGTTTTTTTTTTGTTTTAAAATATTGAATACAAAATCCAGTGGAATATTTATAAAATGATGTTGTGCTGTAGTTACTTTTCATCATATGTACATTGATGACAAACAATGAACAGTAGTTTTCAGTGCATTAGTCAGTTAGAAAAAAAAACAATAAAAAAATGCGCTCCTATGCGTCAAAACATGTGCTTTGTTAAAAAACAAACTTTATTTTAGAAACGAAGGCGAGTTCGAAGACAGATGTCTACAAACTTGCTTTTTACAAAAACAAAATTCGTCTTTTCACTGTAAAATGTGTTCTTATCTAATTCGGTAGCTAGAAATGATAAAGAGCAGAAAAAAACAAAACAAAAAGGTGCACATGTGTTCATTGATAAGATATTTGAATAGGAGTCACGACTGTAAAAACTATATCTAAGTTCAGAGTAGGGAGGTATTCACCTATGGATCATGTGTTTCTAGTAAAAATCGCTTCCTCTTTATTGGACAGATAAAGAAGCGCATCTGCCCTTAATCAACCAAAAAACAACTATTGTTAATACTTCATGAAAGTTGTTTTATCTTATGATAAATTAACTCGTACTCGGACAATAAAAGGTCATAGGCTTCTATTCCAGGTTAGATTTTTGCTAATGTTTACCTAGAAAACCAAGAATTTTTGAAAAATCTTGGTATTCAAACAGATACTTTTAGCAAAAAAGTGCCTGAAAACCAGAAATTTCTCTAAGAAAAACCTTCTTATACTAAAACACATAGTAATTTTAATTATATAAAAAACGTTTTTCACTTCTAACACCTTCTCGTATGCCTTTCTGGAATTTTTCTTATGAATAACTTTCTATTCCGGAAGAGAGATTATTTTCATAATCAATTAAAATAAATTCTTCTACTGGTAATTGTTTGTTGATTAAACTATCAAATGTTTTTTCTTTCTTGAATTGATTATCATAAATTTGAATTGAAATTTTTTTTGTTTATCATTTATATAAAGTAAAATTTTATTTTCATTAGAAGTAATTCGAACAGAATTAAATTTTTCCAAATCAAAAACTTGATTAACAATGATTGAATTTTGCTAATGATAATTTTGTTTGATTATATTTCATAGTATAAATCGAATTATGAGTTACAGTAATGTATACAATCTAATACATGGGTAAAATTATTTATTAACAACATGACTTTGCAAAGTTAAAACACATATATCTCGAGATAAAGAATTTGATAAGAGATAATATTTATATTTTACATGTATGTTAAGTTGCTCTAGATAATTTCAAAGAAAAAACTCAGCACTAGAGATCTCTCTTGAGAGATGTTATCAGTAAAAAACTAGTGTGAATGATGTAATACCAGAATGATATCGACTTTCATTTCATGCATTTTAGTTTTTAAAAAAAAAAAACTTCGAATGAAGGTAGCATTAGTGAAAATTAAATAATAAATTCTGTAGACAATATCTGAGGTTACGAAATATCTGCCTCTAAAGTTTTTTTCTAAGCATCTGTAAATCTTTAAAAAGAATTTGATTTACTTTTTAATTAATAGTCAACATTTTTACATCTGTCTATCCTGAAAGAAGCCATTCAAAAAAATAATCTTTGTAAAGAATTAAAGCTCAATGAAAAGTGGGCACGTCCCATTTTACTTGAAATGGTCCATATGTTAAATAAAAATTATTTATTAGTCTGTTTATCTTCATTGATTTTATATTTATGGCTAAGTGTTGAAAAATTTCGAAGTGATCGTTGTCTATTGACAATTATACACATCAATGGTGAATGATGAATAAGATGTTGATACAGTCTGTTTGTCAGAGCTCTTGATAGGTACAACATCGAAGGCTGAAAATTGGAATTTATATAGTTTCGAACGATGCGCTTTAGTTTCCAATAGTACAAATCGATCAATTTTTTTACAGAGTATGACAATGCTCGATCCTCTCTTGGACACTCTCGTAACAGTATACAGTAGTCTTCTCACCAAATAAGTGTACGAGAAAATGACATTTCTCAATAGTGCAGACCGTTTACCGTCTCAATTTGCATTTTCATTTTTGTTCGAAAGAGCAAAGTGCGAAAGTTTGTTTTAGGCATGCACTGGAACTTTTCGTCAAAACACCTGTCTACTACAGTATAGGTTTTACAAAAATGTTAATTTGAAAATATTTTTAGTTTCATAAAGATCTGAGAAATAAATTTATTAACAAAGTAGTTCTTTTGAATGGAAAATGGATTTTCGAATTTTTTTTCCCAGGTGAACAAAATTTGAGAGTTTTTAGGCTTTCTCTTGAGTTTCTTGAAAAATCTTTGAGAATTTTTAGATTTTAACCTTTTTCGATCGATATCTTCTCAGTTTTAACAAAGAAAGACAAATGTAAATATTGTCTTTATTCGATAATCGCATCTTTACAGTCATCATTCTAGGGGCGTAACCAGAAAAAAGGCGTAGAGGGGGCTCTGCCCCCTCCTCCCAATAGCGTACATAATCTCTGAGATAGGTAGTGGTGGAACTGTTTCGCTCTTTCATGAAAAATTAACTCTGTTTGCCATTTTCGGAATGAGTTTCTTATAATAACAGTGCAGTATAAATTATTTTTCGCGTTGATTTTTAGTGTTGATAACACAATAATCGCGTAAAAATATTTAATGTTTGTTTCACCAGGAAACGCTCTCAAAGACGCAATTTTTCGTAAAAAAAATAAAACATTTTTTTCAAAAAACTATATAAATTCATATCAGAGAAGCTTACGTTTTTTGAGTGACAAGCGCAAAACGAAGTTAGTTGTATTATACCCACAGTCGCCTTCGGCGGCTAGACTCTGAATAGTTATTTCAAAAAAAAGAAGACCACTACGAACGGTGAAAGAACGCTTTGTTGCTGGAAGCAAATGAAAGAATGAAACTTTATTCCAGATTTGAGTCTAAGTGAAAAAAGGGTTATTGATTAGAAAAAAAGTATCTTGAAGTAACTGATTGGCGAAACGAATTTTTTTTGAATAATAAAGCAAGAAAATTGAGCTATAAAAATATGTTTCTCAAAAAATATCTTCCAGATTCCTCATTTGTTGCGCTGTGAATGAACTAAAAAGTGATTCAAAGGTTTGACTCTCTTTTTTGTGACATTCTGTATACTACATTACATATATTCTAAGTTTACCGAAATATACAGTCTTATGGGATATGTCAAGACTATCACACGAAAATTAATTCAAATTCATAAGATGTCATGAAAAACCGTTGCCATTTTATTAATTGTGAGAAAGCATTTTCATCTTATATTTTTAGGAAATAAAAATATTTTTGTCATGTGCAAAGGATCCAAAGGTGATCAGACTGTTGTTTTAAGGTGCTTTAATAGATACATTTAGATGATCACATAGAATTCAACAAACTCAAAAAGAATATGCATGTCCAAACATATTCATACATATTTTTCGATGAAAAAATCCTTGAAGAAAGCTAGAAAGCCAAATGTGAATCTTGCACATTTTTCGATAGAAAGAACATGCTGAGTTTTCGATGAGACCAAGCCCATGTAAAAATGATCGTTAAATCGTCAATTTAACGATCATTTTTACATGGGAGACATTTGATTTTTTTAAATTAAGAACACGAAGTAAAACTTATTTCAAGTGAAAGCTTTCATCTTCCTGTACCAAACGATTCATTTCAATTACTAATTAGATGTATATATGGCATAGATAACGGGAATTTAGATAGAGGAGTCGAAACCTGTGGTCATTCTTCAAATAAGCGCTACTAGAGATACCAAAGTCAAAGATAAATATTTTTATGTATAGGGAGCAAAATATTTTTGTAGGGGGGGCTCAGGCCTTCTTAGGGGGGGCTGAGCCCCCTCTAGCCCCCATCTGGTTACGCCACTACATCATTCGTTTTTATGACATATACTTGTTGTCGAGCAAATAGCGAAAATAAAGATAACCGATATATATAACTTCTTTTTCTTCTCCGAATATACTTGTCGAGATTCTAATGATATTTTTCTCCACGCATGCTTCTATACACTCGTAGTTTAACAGTGAACACACTTTTATTATTCGTCATTTTATGGTGACTCTTAGATAAAAAACGCACACGCACACAAAATATTCACTTCTCAGCCCTTTACATAAAACAGTTGTTCATTGATGCAATAAGTACGACGTCAGATCAAACGACTAATGATCATTCGAATGATACTATTTTACACGAAGATGATTTGACTAAACAAGCCAAAAATCAATTTAGCTATCATTGTGATATACTCCGTACGTTCGAATCATATCGTCAAAGTATACTTCGTAATGAATATATGGTACCTATTGGTCGATATTATTTTCGATCTGAACTTCATACTTTACACACAAATTGTAAGCGTGTTCTCAATTATGCAACTGAACACAATGAAATTTTCAATCGGAATTTGCCTACTATTGGCCCGTTGGTAATCTGTGGCCTCGCACGTACAGGTACAACATTGCTCTACAATTTGCTTGCCTGTGATCCGAATTGTCGTGCACCATTATTCACTGATATGAATGTTGAAGTTGTTTCACCAATTCCGTGATCTGATTCGATTGGACAAAAACGATGAATTGATCTTTTAAAATCTCTTCAACAAGATGATGAACAATTATCTGATATATTCACTCGAATAGCTGCATCTCATGCACGTTTTGATATTGAAGAAGATTATCATATTCTACGTCAAGCTGACTATTTGTGCATGTTTACTGTTGTATCTGATGATGAAGATTGTAATCCTGAGAGTTGGATTCGTAAGGAAATAAACAAAGATTATGTATATGATTAACATGAAATATTTCTACGTATGTTAAATTCTGTTGATATGCCAAAATCGCATTGACTATTAAAAGCACCGTTCCATATTTTTTCTTTTGATAAATTGCTTCAACACTATCCGAATGCATTATTAATCATGACACATTGACGTCTTGACGAAGTTCTTTCATCATTGTGTAGTGTGTCATTGGCAGCTGCTGAGTTGAGTTTTGACAAAACAAACTCGATCAGTCGCGATAGAATACTAAAACGAAGTTGTCAATTTGTTGGTACAGAAATCGAGTGTATAATGAAATTTCGAACAACAGACAACGGCGTACTTGATCAATCGAAAAAACATATTTTCGATATTACTTATAACAATTTGATGAAAGATCCAATTGGTGTTGTCCATCAAATATATGACTATTTTGATCTTCATTGGTCGAATGAAATGGAAATGACTATACGTGATTGGCTTCTCAAAAATCCTCAAGGAAAACAAGGTCGTCACACGTACTCACTTGCTGAGTTTGGCCTCAATCGGGAAGATATCGAAACACTTTATGCTGACTATACCAATTTATTTCTATCTTCGGATAATCAATCATCGTCGACAACTTCTATTTCATTATAATTTAAACAATATCTTGTATTGACTTTGATTAAAATTGTTACAACAAATAGTTTGATAAGTTGATTGTAGAACTTTAAGGGCATTGGTGTGGGTGTTTCATTGACCCACACCGATTATCGATTGTTCGCGCCCACAAAAATTCTAATTGTTTGCTACTACAAGAGATTCTCAGTTCGAGATATCACGAATTCGAACTAAAAGTTATTGTTTCTCGCACTTGCCCTAAATTAACAAAGAATAGAAACGTGCACAGCGCGTACCTGGAGGGGGAGGAGAGCGAGGGGCCAACCACTACAAAATAGCTTATTAGAAGCAAGGTTATTATGTAATGCTGCTGAAAAAATTCTTTCACGATCGTCCAATCACGATTAGTCACAAAAATTGCTATTCACGATGATTATAAAGTAATTTTTTCCTCTCATAAACATGGTAACTTCCAGTTTGATATGCCGCTTTGTAGCAGGAGAAAAACGTAACGAAATCCATATAATCATGAAATTATTTTACATACCTAGAATTGGAAAATAGTCAGTCATAATTAATCATGATGCAGGCCACTAGATCTGACATCGGATATTACTACGAAAGAAACAACTTTTATATGCATCATAGTAAACGACAACTGTTTCCTTTCAAAAAAAATCATCCTTTTCATACATCTCTACAATATTATAACTCTCCAAAATTCTAATCTCCTTTCGAAACGCATTTTCGATCCTTCGACATCGCAATGCAATGTATACGTGCATAGCTAAAAATGTATATGAATTGGAAGATTAGTCAAGCTCATTTCTTTGCAATGTTTCCTAGATAATGCCAATAGACCTCTACATACAACAACGGAATCTTTATAAACGAATCAAGGTTGGAATTGATTTACATCTGAAAGTTCGAAACTTCGTTCCAGATTTCTTGACTATTTTTCATAGCAAACAATTTTCATTGCGTCTTTTTCTGATTTTATTGTGATTAAACTTTTATTCAACAGCTGTCCAATTAAGATAATGAGAACTATCATTCAACAAAAGATTGGAATATGATAATTAGTTTTTTATTTTACTCTATCTGAATGTTGCTTGTACTTATGAAACTATGCTTGAATATATTTCAACTTTTTCTGTTTTTAATCGATAGATTTTTGGATCCAGAGAACAAAAATGATAAAGATATCTACATTCAATTCAGTTTCAAATTTAACTTTAAAATCTTCATTTATAGCAGCTTATCAATACAAAATCTGACCTTCTAGATAAATAAATCCCGTGTTAAAACAATAGAAGGAATCCTTGCATATCATTTAGATTTATTCAAAATATCGAAATCATAATTCGACTGCTTTATATTACAAATATAAAATTGAAAGAATAATTCTAAACAAAAATAGTTTATAGCTGCGACTAAGGATGTCCGTATTCAATGTGTTAGCATTAAATTATCATTATCTAAAATGCTAATACATATTCTAGATCTCGAACACTGTAAGTTTAAAAGTTTTCAAACCCAAACAATTTTGATTTATTTTGGTAACGACACTTCCCAGTACGAAAAACGTTTCTTCTGTTATCAGAAATTTTCAAACATGAACTCTCAGAGATATGGTAACGGGTAGCACATGTATTACAATTAAGAATAATGCTAATAATTTGGCATTAATTAATTCTAATACAAATAATTAATAGTAAAATATTAAGATTAATTTTAATAATACTATCTAAAGAATTAGTATTATTCTAATACTAATACAAATCTGACATCTCTAACAACCAACATTCTATAGCATCATTTGCTCTATTCAATATTCTAAAAAGAGATAAGTGTCCTCATCTATATATTATTATTAATAAGAGAAATTCTTTTGTGTATTCTTTCGTAACAATAAAAGTGGACATTGTACAATAAATAAAATTAAAAAAAAAATATTATGAACTACTACAACATGTTTTAGCAATATTATCACTTCTCGATTGAGCTGATTGTGGATAAAAAGGTTTGATTGTTTGACCAGCAGGATGTAGCCATTCATTTGAACCATCGTTCAATGAACCCACTCGAGACGCCCAATTTCGATAAATGTCTGCAATAAGACTACGAAAAGCTTGTTCTACATTTGTCGCATCTAATGCTGACGTTTCAATATAACTTTTAAAAAATAAAAAAAAATTTTTTTTTTGTTTTCTTTCAAACATTTATGCTAAAGAATATATCTTACGGAATATTTCTTTCATCAGCATAACGTTTAGCATTTTCATAAAGTACTGCACGCATATGTCGTTGATCGACTTTGTTACCAACTAAAATAATACAACATTCAGCACCGGCATTCGCTCGTACTTCATTATACCTATTTGAAAAATGAAAACAAATCAGAATTTTAAAATAATTTAAAAAAATTTTTTTTTACCATTGATCAAGGTTTTGAAATGTTGATGCTTTAAGAATATCAAAAACTAATAGAGTACCTAGAGCATTACGATAATAAGCTTTTGTAATGGCCATAAAACGTTCTTGACCAGCTATAAATATATAAAAATTTGTTTTATTCTTATTAAAAAGAAAGAAAGAAAAAATAAGCAATCATTTTACCAGTATCCCATATTTGTACTTTAATTGTTTTACCATCAACTTGAACATCTTTTGTTGAAAATTCGACACCAATTGTTGAACGACTTTCAAGTGAAAATTCATTACGAGTAAAACGTGATAATAAATTTGATTTTCCAACACCTGAATCACCTGTTAAAACAATCTTAAATACAAAATCAGCTGCTGAAGATTCTGCCATAGATGTTTTTTGTTTTGTTTGTTTGTTCTATAAAATTAAAAAAAAATTATCAACACTTTAATACTGACTATAAATTCAATTTTTATTTAATATAATTGAATGGGTTCTGCTACTGAGTCATCGTTTTGACGATTGTTTGAGACTGAATGTTAAAATATATATATATATGTTTATTGTAGATGAATAAGGACAAAAAAAAAAGAAAATATTGTACATTTATTTTCAAATATTGTTTTGATTGCCTAAGTGCTTATTTATGAATGATAAAATTACTATCTCATTAGTGTCGTCTCTATGTGTGTATGCTACTACTTGGTTTGTCATTGAGTCGTCTAGGGTAGCAAAAAAGAAAAGTAGAAAATATTAGTTATGGTTTTTTTTTCTCTTCTCCAATTAATGTGTATATGAAGACAGGTGAATCATATTGTCCCATTTTTCTTGTCGTTCACTTTATATTATATTGAAGGTAGTCTAACGAAAGAATAGAACAGGCTGTATAGCAAAAAACAAGAAGAAAAAGAAAAAAAAAGATAGTCAAGAAGAAGAAAAAGAACACAATATATTCAACTTATTTTTTGTATATGAAGCGTTTCTTCTTGATTATGTATATCATAAAATAACCACACGATAATATATTGTACTCGACTAAATCATCATAAGTAATTTGGATACTTAGTGAATTGGTGGAATATCAAGAGGTTTCGATTGATATTGATTTTAAGTTTTATTTAAATATTTGTTGAAATAAATGAGATCAAATGTATATAGATTTAAGATATTTTTTAAAATTTACATCGAAAAATCTTTACAAATCTTACTTAAACATTACTTAGAGCATAGCAAAAATAGTACTCTGAGTTTCATCATTCTTCAAATAATGTCATAATAATAAAATTTCGATAACAGCTGTTTAATATGATAAGTAACGGTAATACTTTGAATAACTTTCGACAGAACAAAAATAGAGAGTCATGACTTTGACCTTGAGAAAGAGAAGATGATAACGAGTCGAATCATATATTACAGATTTTTTTTCTTTCAATCGACAGTTATGAAAACAAAACCTACTTAATGAGACGCTCATAGTGAATCTGCCAATTGAAGATCTACAAAACATATTAGAAAAATCAATAATATACAATTCCATGCGTCTTCATTTCGTTTTTAGTATTGTTATTTATATAAAAGCATAGAAGTGAAGATTAGTTCAATCATAAGTAAGCAATCTATTGTACTTGACTATAGGTCATACAAGCGAAAAGTCGTATTCGTGCAGGACACTGCTCATTAATCTAATGGAGAACTTTGTTCATACAAAGTTTGAAGTCGAAAGTAGATTTTTCAAGTGATCCCAGGGGATCACAACTTTTTGTTGAAAAATTTTGATACCTCAAGAACGAAGGCTCGGAAAAGTAAACCATTCTAGACTTTTCTATTAATCCCGAAATGAATATCGTCTCAGTCAAAAAGCAATTTGACAACTGGAGAGGATTCATGGAATTCTCTACCGAAAACAGTAGGGGCCGATTGCCAAAAAATTTTTGTTTTTGAAATCAGTTTGCTAGTTTGAAAGGGTATAAGAAGTAACTGAGAAATCCAAATTTTATTAAGTGAAATTGTCCATTTTTTAATCTATTGTACATGCTTTTGTTTTATTCTTCTTGCTTCTATTATGCAGCTAATTTTTAAGAGTCTAAGATATGGAAATCAAATCAATAATTGTTGAAAAAAGGTTTCTCGAAAAATTTGGTTTCTTCTTTGCCAGACTATCACACAATGTTTTCGATAGTGGTCCCGATAAAAATTACTTCTATAGCACTTATTTTCACTGTACATAAGCCGATTGAAAATAGTCAATGATCATCACATGTATATTGAATCCAACTGTTGATGATAATCAGCACTTTTAGAACGCTTCAAAATGATATAAAAACAGTAACTGTACAAGGATAATTCACCTCTGGTCCACCTTAGGGTCGAATGAAAAATTAAATATCATGAAAAGCCGGTATTTGTTGTTTATTCATATGCTACTTTGGAGTTCTACGTTTGTTTTATAACGTTAGAACTTGATTTCCATTTTCAAAATCACTTTTTCATAAAGTTCATTTTTTGACGCTCTACCCTTGGGAGGAGGAGAAATCGGGGTGTGGGTGTGAGTTCTAATTGATAGATAAAAAGAGCTTGTCATCTTCAACATCCAGGTATAGCGTCGTACGTACGATAGGCATTGATTGTTTCAATCATCCAGGACAGAAATGATATTCCTGTAGGATGGCGATATCATCAGTTATCGACCCCTTTCTTTCAGTATCCAATTAAGTAAACTACTAAAATAACTCGTCATGCACTATCTGGTGCCACTTTTTCAAATCAAACTTGATCTGATAGCTATAAAGATGGAAACTAATACTTAGCAATAATGATATGCTGATGCTCTCGAGTTTCGAATAAAAATTTTTTTGTCTGTTGAAGATTTATCATACAAATAAATCACCTTTTATACCACTGACACATTAATAAAAAAAAATTATTATCAATGACACTAATACAGAAGCAATAAAATAATATTGAGAAAGATACGTAAGTATAGTTCATTGTCATAATGTATTAAAGATACTGAGAGATTCAGTCTTCTGGTAATAATTAATCCATGGATCGGATACGTGCACCCGTACCTGTATTTCGGTACAAAACTAATGGGTATAAGTAAATGGTTCCAGTTCGAATCAGATACTAGTAGGAAGAGTTGTATCCATGCAGTACTCTGATAATCATGTAATTGATGATTTTCTACAGAAAACATGTTAGGTATATTTACTCTATCCAGAATCACTGTTTCATACCATATCTTTAGTAAAATCTTCTGTTCAAGAAATATTTTTGAATTATAACTGTGAAATGGTACGGTACGAGATATTTGTTTATTTTTTAATATTATCAATAGGAAAAAAGTGAGGCCTTGATGTTTTGATCATGTTTCAAATGACTTTCTAGAACTTCTATCATACAACTTAACCTTTCTCGAGAACAAGCGAGCTTTTCATAAAAATAAAATGACACATACATTTTCATAAAAATACCAAAAATGATGTATTTTGAGCAGTATTGTCGAGGACTTTTCGGGAAGTTTTTGGCATTTTTAGTAATCATTTATGCCGTTTCAAACTCATTTGAACAACTAAAATTTTTCGTCAACTTTCTTGGATAGTGGTCTCGTACACTCTCTTTTAATGTTATATTGTTGTCTTTATATAAACAAACAAAGCGAGATGGATTGCATAGAAATACAACAGAAAAATAAACAAAAAAGAAAAAAAGTAAAAATATTTATCGTCGTTTATGATGATGATGATGTTTAAGATCTCTTCGTTTTAAACTTGGATCATCAATAACTTGTTTCATCATAGGTCGAATAAAATCTTGTTCTTCATCATCAGACGATGATAAATCTTTATTTTTCTTTGCTCGTTGTTTAATTAATTCATTAACTTTTTCTTCTTGTTCATCACGTTTTTTATATATATGAACATTTTGTTGACGTTGTTCAGTTCGTATAGCTCCATCAACAAGCATTTCACGTATACGACGATCTCGTTCTTCTTTTGATTGTTTTTCATGAGGTTTTGTTGGACGTGGTGGAGTACGTTCACGACGCGATGGAGCAGGACGAGATGGTGGTGGTGATGGACTACGACGTTGACGATAATGATGGTGATGACGAGGAGATGGAGATGAACGGCGTCGATGATGACGTGGTGGTGGTAATGGACTACGACGACGATGTTGAGGTGATCGAGACCGAGAATGACGTTTTCGTTTACGTGAAGATGACGATGATTGTCTATAAATAAAAAATTAAGTATCTATAAGTTTATGGAACTAGATTAATATATGAAAGATTTAATACAAATCGTTAACTGACAAAAGCGGAAGTAAATCAACACATGTTGACATGATTCAATGTAACTAGCTATTAATATTAAAACGACGGGATGTTAAACCAAGCACTGTTGCTATTGTCTAACACTGTTCTTTCTTTTATATATTCACTGCTAGTTCATCTCTTTTTTCTATATATCATATAATTGTTTATCATAACATCATTTTTTTTCTCGTTTTGCACGTGAGTGATAGAATATATGTTACTCACATTTTAGAGGTTTAACTGTATGTACTGTTGACTGATTAAGTCAATGTCATGCTCCATCTCAGGAAAAAACTTTGCACAGAAACAGATCTTCTCGCTTGAATGATAAAAACGATAGCTCTCTAGTTCTTCCCGTTCTTGAGTTATTGCTGACATTATTCGAATATTTTCTGCTATTGAATGTCATTAGAATTAGATAAGAATATCTGGAATATGTGTTCTTACAAAATCTTTTCTATGAATAATGCATATCCATATTAATTAAGAATAATATTTTACTTACGCAGATTCTTGTCTTTCTAAAAGTTCTTTAAGTTGTTTAAGTCGAACAGGATTGTCTAAAATTCTTTTTTTTTGTTCAATTTCTTTTTTCTTAATTAAATATAATGGATCTTCACGAATTTTATTAGCTAAATCAATTGTTGATGTTGTTGCATTATCTTCGGTGATATCATTTGGTTGTGGGTCAGCATCAAATTTTTTTCCGAGTAAATAATCGTCAGATTTCGTACGATCACCGGTATAAATCCATTCAAGACGAGGTTCTTGTGGTTCACGTAATTCACGATTCAGTCGAAGCGTTTTTTGACGTTCTTGTTCATCATACATTGTTCCTGTAGGCTCTGGATTCTTTCGCATAGACATTTTAGAAATTTCTAAAGAAAAATTTCAACAAATAGACAAAGATAATAAAAAGGAATCAACATTTTTCTAGATTGGCTCATATCAATTCAGCGTATTAGAAAATTCAATATAGATGTCGCTAGAAAAAACAAGTTATTGATCAGAATTTGTAATTATTCAAATATGAAAGAAATCGGTCGTGTACACTTCAGTCTTCATCTTTTACGTGCTTTTTGCTGTAAAAAATCTGTACTTTATGTCAATAGAAATTCGTTCGAAATGTGTTAGGAAGATCTATGTCTCGAGATGATACAAACGTTTTTGAATCGTCAATGTGAATTTCCATCAGTACGTTCTACAAAACAGTGATTTTGATGATTTGGCCTTGATCTTTTACCTAAGATAATTAAAATTGGTGAATTAGTCTGCAGTCAGTTGTTGTGAGCAGGAGAAATAATGAAAAATTTCGACAGGATAGGATCGGCTCTACGTAAAATTGTTTATTATTCTTATATTAATTGAAATACTGTTGGCAAAAATTGAGATTGCTTCGTGCTGCATTTAGATAGTTCTTTACGAATTTTCTTTTTTTCGTTTATAAGCATCGAAAATTATTATTTTCTGTTGCAATGATTTCGAGAACGGAGAGTCAGAAAATACGTAGATAAACGTTCTTATACTGTCTTATTCACACATCGAAGAACGTAATAGATTTGTAGGGAATCTTTTTCTGTATGAAACTCTTATCTTTGAAATCAAAATGAGTTATATACCTTTGTTACGTTAGAACTTATATGAGTAAAAAAATGCCTATTGCAGTTCCAACAACAGAGGGGATATGTATCTCACCAAACAAGAGTGTATCAAATGCAACTTAACATAGCGCATGGTTCTAAATTTTATGCTCTGTTTACATAGGACTTCAATAAGCTTTTTACACCTGATATTCTTATCGTAACAAAGGTATATAATTCATTCTAATTTCAAATATAGGAGTTTCCTACAAAAAAAAGTTCTCTATAAATCTACATTTATAAAACAAGTGTTACTTTCTTCGATGCATGAATAAGATAGTACAATAACGTCTATTTGTGATAGTTATTCTATTGAATTATTGTATTATAATAAAAATGCTAACTGAGAAGAGGCGCGCAACAATTTGTAAAAAATAAGTGGTTTGGAAGAATGAAAAAGAGCATGCTGTGATTGTATCGTCAATAAAAACTAAACAGATTATTGGATTTTTCTGAAAGTTTTTACTAGTATACTAGAGACTATGGGTTGTAATTTGATGAAAACCAGATGATTCTAAAATAAAATTATCTACTAGTTGAATAATTTTGATACCCACTGTATATACTGCTAGTTCAAACAGTGCTGTACAATTTTATAATATTTCACCATTCTTCAGCTGGTATGATAGTAGAACAATTTCGATAAAAGCTGTTCATCTTTGATTTTGTTAGATAAGAAAAACTTTCGCTTCTATAATATATCCCATACTGTATTATGTATTCAAGCACGACTTATTCATGATAAAATATATTTTGTTTTCGACATCCACCTCTTAGAACAGTTCAAAAGATGATATTGAATAGTTTCATGAAGGTTGTAAAAGATGTTGAAGACGAAGAATGTAATTCAGACTGTATCTTTCATGATCACCCTCAACATCAGCTGTTACGATATATACCGAGCCGTAATCGTTTTAAGTTTACGATGATCGAAGATTATTCGTTGGACAGCGCCATGATTCAGATTACGAGGTTATTTGACATGCCGGATCATGCTCTGTCTCCAACAGCATTTTGACATTTATAAAACCATTCATATCATCTTTCAACTCTTCTAAGGAGTGGAGTCTGGCTGCCGAAAATAAAATATAGTGTCGTACAGACTTAAATGCAGAAGCGAATGTTTTCCTTATGCAACAAAATCAGAATTGAACAGCTATGATCGAAATTCCCATATCTTAGTAAATGAAGAATATTGAAATATTATAGAATTATAGAACATGGTTTGGACTATCAATATATAGAAAATATCTTCGAGTCCTTCGATAATATAGTCTAGTGCATAGTTTTCGTTTGATTTTGCTGAGAGAGAAGAAGGGTTAAGCGAGAAAGTCTCCCAAATCTAAAGAGAAACAACTTTTGTTTAATCTTTTTACAGTAAAATATATTCTTAGATAGAACCCAAAGTGATCTCGTCTTCAACAGAAACAGTATTTTCCCTATTCTTGTTAATTTTTCAATAAAAAAAAGTTCAAGTAAATGAAAACAAGTATTTTCATCTACAAGAAAATTTTTCACTTCAATAATGTCCAAGCTATTTTTCCTCTAAAAGTGAATTAATTCGAAAGAAAAAATAGTGATGATCTAAAAAGAAAGTAATGTAGACCCAAAGAAAATTTAATTCCCATACGAAAAGCAACTGTCTTTAGAAGAAATTGGTTCGAATGTTAAAAGAATAGTTGCCATTTGAGCAGTAAATAATTCAGTGGGAAAAGCAAAATAGTGGGTGCCTTTTGGAGCATTCATTCGGATGTTAAGAGATGACATTTCACTAAGTGCTCGTCAAGAAAATTTCCAGAGAGAAAACAATAACAATAAAAAATTAGCGGGGGGAAGTCCATCGGCTTCCCCCTCGCCATAATCGAACGCCCTGGTATCATTTTGAAATTCCATTAAATCAAACTTGATACTTTCAATGACCTTGAACATTTTTTTTTTTTGCAAACAAGGTCTTAACTCATTCGGTAATGTCAAAGGATTTATTATTAATGTATAGAAATACGAGTTTTTGTTTTGTTAGCTTTGAATATACTCAATGAACTTCTTCATTTGATGACTAGTACAAGTGTTATTCTTCTATGACTCATTCTTCAAATGCAAGTTTCACAACAAAATAAGACTTAATTTATATTTAATATTGAACAAATCAAAGTGAATTGACTCGTTTTCAATCATTATTATCTCTATCTCTTTCTAAGATTCATCTTTGTAACCATTTATCTGTTAACATCAGCGAATAAATAAACAAAGCAATTAAACTCTATCAATAAACAATTCAACGTAATGGTTTATATTGTGAACAATTAAAATTGTACGATTAATCTTGGGACATATTTACTAGTTTTCGACTAGAAAATTCATTAAAATGTAATTTAATATAGTCTATATTAGGTTTATTTGATACAGAACTTTTTTGTTCTTCCAGAATACGTTGTGGGCAGTTTGTGTGTCGATCTTCTCTTCATTCACACCCTAATCTCAACAACAAAAACATTTGTCGTCCGAGTAAAAATGAAATGTTTTGTTGGCAACTTCCGACTCATTTATGGTTGTCAGTTCTTCGAATTAAATCAGGTACCTAAAATGTACTTTATCATAACTTTTACTTTGAGTTCATATTGATGTTTCTTATAATAAATTGGATATTTATAAAATAGCGGAAACAAAAATTATATATAATATTTGCTTTTATTTAAATAAATATACATTTACTATTTACTTTACTTTATTTACCTAAAGAAAAAGTAGAGTAAATGCGTTATCCCTATAATAAATAATTATTTTAAGATGCAACAGAAATTTCATGCAGTTTTCAAAGTCTCTCTTGGACTTTTTCGACGTCTATTGAAGCCTCTTAAAGTCTTATAAAGTCTTAGAAGCTTTTTGAAGTTTTTTGGAATCTTTTGAAGACTTTTGAAGTTTTGGATTTTTGAAAGCCGGTGGTTTCAGTTTCGGTTGAGCAGCTAGGAGAGAAACAACATGTGCATCTTTACTGATGAAGATTAGCAACAAGTGTTACTCACCGGTGAGATATTGTAATTGTATATTTGTACAAGTGATACTGTTCGACAATGTATCGATATTAATCTGATTTACTTGAATTGGTTTTGACGTCGTCCAACTCATAGTTTTCATTGGTGTTTTAAATATACCATTAAAAGTAGCTATTGTAGTATTGTTGGATTGCATCAAATGGAAATTAGTATTAGCTGACGGTTTAGAATCACCAGCTACAGGGACACATTTGACAATCAATCCAACAACATCATCATATACTTGTGATAATTTTAATTTTTCAGCTGAGCCACCAGCTTTTATTTGTATACGTTTCAGCGGACTCAAAAGATTTGCAGTTGTCTTGAGTTCTAAAATAGAATTTAACTGCATAAAATTAAAGAATAAAAACTGAAAGGTACAATGGAAGAAGAACAAAAGTTGATACAACTTGTCAATGAGCAGAAATATTTCGAAAATATAATTAATAACGTAGATTCTACAGTCTGTAGAAGAATCTCAGAATACTCTCATGGTCTTTTGTGATTATACATTTTTGTAGACCACTAGAACCTTCAAAAACAAGTAAAAAGTCAAACTTTAAGAGAACATTCCATCATTTCAAAGTTTAGTTTCCAACACTCAACATTTAAGCTCTCGTTTATACAGAATGTCACTCAAAAGGTATCAATAAAAATTAGAAATATAGTTGAAGTCGTTTTGTGGTCACCAAGTTTTTCAGTTTATTTTTTCGAAAAAGACCATGTCGCATAAGATGGCCTATTCAGAATTGAGAAAGCAAATATACCATGTTATAGAGCAAGTCGAGGGACATCGAATGGTATATAGAGTGTTTTATAAGTCTTGAGGCTTGACAAAAATTAGTTTATATGCAAATAATGATATCTTCTCTTGTAATAATAAAAATATGAACATAAGAATGTAATAATAAATTTTTTGAAATCGATCGATGAGATATTTTATGAGGAAAAAAAAAGAAAACACTCTTGTTTATTAATACACATATTAATCTGGTTTAACTATGACGTATTTGTACTTCACCACTATTTACCACTTCGTCAAATCTTTTATGAACTAACTTACGAGACATATTATATCCAAAAATATATGGAAAATGTCGAAATGAATACCAAGTGAAAAAAAAACAATCAGATCAAATTGAATTAAAAAAGAAACAAAAATAAAAGAACTGCCGGTAAAAAGAAAATTTTTTTATTCTTCACACAGCATGTTGTTTTTCCTTATACACGCCTTATTCATCCTCATTCTATTACTGAATATATAGCTTGGCTGAATATGTGATCAACAACTCATGATGAGCGTCGACCAAATGATTCAAATAACTAGTTATTGGTTTTTGCTATACTATTTTGTATATAAAATATGTTCAGCATTATAATGTTATACGAATTCAGAATATCATGTTTATTTCCCACCGAAATCGACTTTTGATAGTTAAAATGTCGAAATATAGTATCAAAAGAGGAAAATTGATGTAGAAATTGGTTAATATTTCTCAATACAAGACAATTTTGGGTATCATGCAATTATTTTGAAGAACTTTCAAATAGTGTGTTTTGTAATACTACCTCGCGAGCAATTTCTGAGAAAGTTGAGCATCTGGTCGCATGTTCTGTGATCGACACTATTGAACACAATAAAACTCACTATTATCGACTACCCATGAAAAAAAATAGTAAATGATTGAAAAATTGCATTTTTTTTTCCTATGAAAGATAGGATGATCGGAGATGTTATTAACTATATGAACTTATAGCTTATGAAAAATTTTACAAAAAGTGTAGATAAGAAAAATTTTTCACAAACACTTTCGACTGATACTAAGGACTACAATGATCAGTAACTGATCATGCTTTAGGTGCATAGTCATCTATACGTAAATTAATTCTAGTTTCTTGAAAGTTTTATGAAAATAATATTTACTATATACCATTTGTTCGGAATAGGTCATCTTATCCGACAGGATTTTTTACTTTTATCTTGCGAAAAAATCTTTACTCGTTGACTTTTCGAATGATTTCAGAAACTTTTTTGCCACATTTTTACATCCTATTGATATATAGTTTACTAACGTTATTGATCACTATTCACACCGTAATCGAAAAGATGTGACACAACGTTCATAAGATATCTTCTAGCATTTAGAAAATCAAGCATTTAATAAAGATGCCTTGATTGGTTCATAGTGAAGGTCGTCTCAGATTACGTTCAATATAATAGTATTGACAGATCTTTTTTTAAAGATCTGTAATTTGTTCACACAATTCAGTCTAGACTACTTTACAGATTGGACTTCAGTTTGTCTCCTTCTGAAATGAGTTCGTTAGATTATTTCAGAAGCTTAAAGTATTATTTCTATATTTTGTCAACTTTTTGATAAAGAAAAATGAACTATTATTTTTCAGCAGATACAAGAGCGACAGGAGTTCAAGCAATCGCAGACTATTCATAGACAATTTACTACCCATACAAAATCAAGAAATCTAGGAATTATTACAATGCAATTTGTTATTCTGGATGTTAAAATGTGTTCTACTCCTAAATTAATGAGGGAGTTGATAAATCGACGCTATTTTTCGGAAGTATATAAACATAGAGTTTTGGAATTGAAGTTTCAAAGCATTATCTAAGTGTACATAGTGCTGTAATAAGTGCTGAAAATCATCAAATATCCTCTGAAAAATAATTCTAACTATGTAAACTTCAATTCAACAAATTAATCTGTAATACTATTTCGAGAACACGACTTTAGGCTATTTACCAACTTTTGTATTTCTCAATGATTGCACTACATCTGGTAGGTGAGTGTTTATATTGGAAATATTTTGAATTCTACAGACAAACGAATGATAAATAAATCAAGTAGCTATTCTTTAATTTATTTGTAACTAGTAACTTATGGAAAAGAGAAAATCAAATTGTAGATGGTAATGATCATGTGGGTTGGTATCAGCGACATAAGAGCGACAAATCGAAAATAAACTTACTTTTACTTTCGTTCAATATCTTATACGGATCTAAAGGAAAATTGATTACATCAATACACTTCGTTGAACAAAATTGATACATTGGATATATGTAATTACGATTGTTAGCACTGACTAGACAGTAATGTTGACCGTCATAATTTTGTCGACGTTCACACAAATAATATGATGGAAGGAAACTAAGATCTGCTTGTGGTACACAAATACCAAATCCAGGATTCATTACCATAAAATTAGCATCGCCTGTATGGCAAGTTTCATTTTTTTTCGCATCGCGATTACAACATCCACACATACCAACTGCTGTTGGGCCAGGTGGACAACTTAGACATGATGTTGGTGAGACAAATATAGTTAAAATTATTGATACAATGAACAGAAAACCTTTCAACGATACAGTAATTTTCATTATTATATAATATTGTGTAAGTATTTTTTGCACGTGTGTAAGCCTTTTAACTTTCCCAGAATTCTTATTTATATAGAAATGATAAAAAAAAAAAAACCTAATGAAAAATAGAATAAGACGATGAATAAAATAACTTCCTATCTGTAAATCTAGTTTCCTATAGTAATACACTTATATAGAAACAGAAATAATTTTTCTTAAAGTCTTATATATTAGTTGGCTTCCATCTGATCTATAAGGAAACATTCTGTCTCCTTGTTTTTTGTTTTTTTTTCTACTGCATAGAGTATACGTATATAAGAATATACATATCTCTTTGCTGATACTTATTTAGCTATCAGTAACAAAAAGAAAACCAAATATAGACGTGATAATTACTAAATTTTCTGATATTGCTTAAAGACATTTCATCAAACACAACTAGGATATCTTCTAAGTATATCTCAATTCAAGCGGTTAGGAATTGTAGCTCTATTTTCTATTGTACTCTATACACTGTTTCTTTTTTCTTTACTACACCATCTGTTAGTGATACTTAATCAGTTATCAGCAGCAGAAAAAAACAATTATAATCATACACAACTTGAACTATTTCTATTTTGTATTTCTATTAATTTTCAACATCATTTATTAACTTGACCTTCACAATATCTTAAGTGTAGTTTTCGGTTTTGTGATTAGCTTTAAAACCACTTTTTTGAACACTCTTGCAACCGTTGTAATATTTAAAAATGTCGAAAAAGTTATAATCTAGTTTCTAATTTGTACAAATTGATTTTTGATATTTATATTAAAAAAAAATACATTTCCAATTAACAAAATAGACAGTGTATAGTTTTAATCTATACAAAAAAGTAAAAAAGGGCTACGTAGATTTATTTGCTGTTTCTGATATTTTTCGATTTTAAATGCTGTTATTCTTCTTCGTTTCACTTCCGATTTTTCTTTGACTTTACCATACAGAATCTATAGATATTATGTCTAACTGAAGTGAGAAATTGAGAAGATTACAAAAGAATACTTATTCGACAAATACGAACAAACATCAACATATTATAAGAAAAAAGGATTTTTCTTTCGGTGTAATGATAACAGATAAACTACTATAAAACAATAGACTTTTCTACACCTTAGTATTGAATGCATAATGGTATTGCTATTTTCATTATTCTCTTTTCTGAAAGAAAGGATTATATCGAGGTCAAAACAAGCTACATATACATGTTACGTACAAAATTATATATAGCTTATTCTATCTTGTTTGAACTAATAAAATTACTTTCCATTTTTTACTCTCGTCTATCCACAAATTGTTTTACATGTATTGAGAACATGTTTATAACTGGGCTTGTTAGATGAATTACAAGATTTATTTTTTAAATGAGTTGCCTACATAATTAAGACAACTGTTCATCTTATATTACATATTATTTTTAATTTGATTGACCATTTATTATAATCTTTAATCCTTTGAGTCCTGAGTTTTTTCTACTAAACCGAATTTGATGAAATTTGGTATTAACTAACTAGGTGACATAATGAAGCATGTGGTTAAATTACAATTAAGGAAATACGTGACCACATGAAGATTAAAACATTTTTGCTATTGTTGAATTTTAATAAAAAATTGCTATTATAATTACTGAAACATGTATTTATTTCATTACTGATACACCTAGTTTTTATGATGCAACAAAAAACAAGTTACAAATCCTATTCGTCCTTTTTTCTCTTTCTTTTGTGCTTCAATAAGCGCATCGACGATAAGTTGAAATAATTTTTGGCAAGTGAGTCAAAAGTTGTGATTCTTCAAAACTTTCTATGTTATTTATGTCCCTTTCAATGTGTTTCTTCTTCTGATTACTTATCGCCAAAGGTTTTCTTACCCATTTTCTACTACAATAATTATCTACGAGTGCAATACTAATCAAGAATACATATTGTAAATATGCTCGAATACTAAATTGGTCAAATCAGTAGCTTCGATATGAATAATCTATGCGGACTCGATGTTCGGACATACATAGACATTGTACATTATACGCACAGAAGACAATTCTATTGTTGAGGATTGATGTAAATAAAACAAATGAATTTAATCTTTTGTAAAGTACTGAACTCTCATAGTGCCTTAGATATATCTCACGGGTATATATTTTGACGAAAAGAAAAATTAAAAAAAAAAATTGTTTAAATCCAGGTTATGGGGTTAAAATATTTTTTGGATTAAAGAAACTTAGCATGATGCAATATATTTCTCCAAGATTCTTAAAAACTCGAAGATTAGAAAATTCTCAAGGTGATACATATGTGTATCACAGAGACTCAAAGGGTTAAAAATAAACAAGTTATGGTAATGAAAACACAAAAACTCAAAGGGTATAATTTCAATTTGCGTGGAGTGTATATTCGTCAATCACAGTTAAAGGATTAATCTGGGTAGTTACTGCTTCATAAGCGATGACAATACACAAATTCATTACGATATGTAAGAAGATTAATATGAAGCATTTTTTGCTTCGTCATAACAAACTGAAAAGATGTATCGATGTAGTTCTGATGAGGTTGCGTTTACGATTCTATTTTCACTATAGTCAACAGATAATTGTGTCTTAAGCCTTGCATTCAGCAAAAATAAGAGATTAAATGTTATTTATAATAGTATTTACCGAGAATTGATTAAAGAATTAAAAGATTAATGGTAGAAAGGATATTAAAGAGTACGTCTGTTCTTCAGTCTTCGCATCGGTCTTCCAAGGCAAATAAATCGGTAGATATGAATCCTCTCAAACTTGCTACTTTTCATCTTCTAACTCTTTTCACCGTTTTGGTATACTTCAACGACATCTCAACGGCATCTTCGATTAAGAAACTTTATGCTGCCCTTTCTAATCAGCAGATGACTCCTGCTACGACAAGAGCGCAAAACTATCAAGTTGCTCCCGGTATTAACTACGAGTACTTATACACAAAAGGAAATAACACCACTAGTTTAAAACCGACTATGTTATTTTTGCACGGTTTTCCCTCCTCATTTCACAGTTGGCGTCATCAAGTAGACTATTTTTCACAACAAGGATATGATTGTCTAGCACCAAATCTGATGGGCTACGGAAGAACCTATTCACCATTGAACGTCAGTGAATACAAGAGCAAAGCCATGGTCGAACATCTGATTACTCTTCTCAACCATTTGCGAATAAACAAAGTCATTGTCGTTGGTCACGATTGGGGAACTCGAACGGCCGGTCGATTCCTATTGCATCATCCGGAGCGAACAGTAGGTGTGGTACTCATTAGTGGTAGTTACAATGCGCCAGCAGTCTTCGATCTCGATCGAGCACTCGAGGCTTCGAAGAAAGCATTTGGATACGAAATTTATGGCCATTGGAAATTTTTCGAAGCTAATGATGCCGCAAAACTGATTGAGAACAATCTGGAAAGTTTCATGGATCTCGTCTTTGCCAGTGATCCAAATCTTTGGAAGGTGAGTTTTGCTCCTGTGGGAAAAGTACGAGAATGGTTGGAAAATAAGAACAGAACGACTCGAGGTACATACATGACAGCCAACGATTACGCCATCCTGCGACAATATCTTGCTGAAGGCATGCAGCCAAAATTGAATTGGTTTAAAATGATGATTGCCAACAATGATTGGGAGGATGAAAAAAATCTCGATCCAGTGCTCAAACAACCGATGCTGTATCTGGGAGGAAAGAAGGATTATGTCAGTGTGATATCTGCTTACTGAGGACCAAGCCAATATGTTGCCGATTTACAAACATGTCCACTGGACACAGGACACTGGGTGATGGAAGAAGATCCGCAAGAAGTGAATCAAATTATTGACAGATGGATCAAGAGAATTCAGGGAATTTTTATTTAAATAAAAATCTTTGAGAATGAACTGAAATGATGTTTTTTTTCGATGATAGTTTGTTACGGAGAAGTTTTAAATGATTAATACTCACTCCATCTATTCGTTCTTCAATCGAGTCAATGCACTTTCCACAGTGCTAAGAATAAGAAAAAAAAATTTGCTCGTTCTTCAGCCAATAACACTTTTTATTTGCTAAGGGTTGTTTCTCTTCTCGATCTCAAAACATAGTGAAAAAGAATTGAGATCAAGACTGTCTCCTCTTTCGTTATAGAAATGTTTGTGAAACCATTATTGTATCAACCGGAAGTGCGATCATCTCTTTTCCTCGTTTTCAATATCTCTATAGCATTATTCATCGCTTGTTTCATACAATCAGTGTCATTGCTTTCTCTGTTACTCTCTTTAATCATTGTCATTTACTTGCATCCAAAAATAGCCCATGGTCATTCCTATACACCACCCGAAAAGACAGATTTAACTGGACAAACAATTATAGTGACAGGAGCAGCATCCGGTATCGGTCGTGTGTCTGCCATTGAATTTGCTAAGCGAGATACAAAGTTATTGTGGGCATACGCGGACAAAGGCGAGCGGAGCAAGTCGTTCAAACATTAGAACAAGAAGCACATATTGTTGGTCATGGTAAAATCATTGGGTACAATCTGGATTTATCGTACCTTTCTACAGTGAAACATTTCGCTGATCAAATTCTCGAGCATGAAGATCATGTGAATATTCTATTGAACAATCCTGGTCTATCCTATTTACATCACCCATTGACATCGGGTGGCGTCCAAATGAATTTTGGTACAAATTATCCAGGTCACTTCTATTTGACAAACCTTCTTCTACCATTATTGATCCGCTCCAAAGCACGGAACGTCAATGCGAGCAGTAGGGTGTGGGTGTGCGTAGAGGTGTGGAGTTCGGTGTGAGTGTGAGTATGAGTCTCGGTCTTGATCTTCTATTTACACCCATACCTACATTCACACACACAGCCAAACCTACACCCAAATACATCCATACCCACACTCACACCCACCCCTACTAAGCGCATATTTTTGGACCCTTTTTTAGATGCATCGTATGCAGCTTTTTTCTCCCTATCGAACCCATAAGA